TGGTCTCTACACCTGGACCTTCCACTATGCTTCTGTTAGAGGAGAGCTCCAGTGCAGGAGTCAAAATACAACTTTAATGCTCTTGTGATATGTTGGAGAAACCCACACACAAAAAAGGTTTGAGATGCCTTTGTTGACTTTGAGACTATTTTGAGAGAAGATTTGTTGCACATATCTTTTGAAAACATTTAAAACTTAAGAGACAGGATGACACCCACTGCTGCCCACATGAAGAAACAGAACAATCACAAACACTGCGAGACTTTCTGGAGACTCCTTCACAAATAGTGTTTGTCAACAAGTTTCAAACTACCTTACGAGTGAGGGCAGTACTGTAAACCTGGAAGAAGACAGCTCTACTGTACCTGGGCTGAACACATCCTACAGGATACACATCCAGTCACTTTCAATCATACCATGGATAACTCCGAGGCTCACTCTGCACTGTGGGCTTGCTCCCAGGCACAAGCATCAGCCAACACCAGTCAGTACAAATCAAGACATGTTAGTTTATGCTCAAAGATTTCCTTGAAATATGTCAATGTGAGCTTGTTTGTCAGACATATTTAATTCATTTGTACCAGATGTGTTTTCTCCAAACTAAAAAGCCACAAGTTGAGGTACTTTAGTTGTATAGATTGCACTATGAGGACAGGTATCTTTTGAAATATTTGTTGGAAGTGATTAATTCATCTGTGCAAAGATATTTGAGAGCAGAAATGAGTTTTGAGGATTATTTAATGTGACTCACCATCATTGGAATGTCTGACACAGTCCTGGAGGACAGCATGCCACTTCTGCTGTTCTTTCTCAGTCGCCACACAGAAGTAGTAGTGACGGGCGTAAGGATGCCACAGAATCAGGGGGAACTGGTATGGAAATTTTAGGAATGGTGAACTTCCAACCTTGGCTTTTACATCTGGAAGAAAAATAGTGAAAAACCTAGGTTAAGCTTCGTATGTTTGGAACATCCATCTATTTTCCACAGTTTAAATTTAGCTGTGGTCGGGTTGCAATCCTTCCAGAGAGAATACATAAACTTTACATGGAGTCTCCTCCAAGTGGGTCATGTCCACCATACCACCAGAGGGAGGCGTCCTGACCAGATGCTTGAAACACTTTAATTGACTCTCTTCAGAAAGACCAGCAGCAGTTCTACCTCRAGCTCCCTCTGTACAGAGTTCCTCACCCTATCACTGAGGCTGAGTCTGAACACCCTACAAAGGAAGCCATTTACAGCTGATTTTATCCAGGATCTCATTTGTTGGTCATGACCTACATGACCATAGGTGAGGTTTTGAATGTAGACAGACCAGTAAATCAAGGGCTTATTGTCAAGGGATATTGTCCAAGATTAACTTTCAGGGTGGATATAGCTCGCTCACACCGAGGACCTATCCACACAGGGCTCTAGAGTGCGACCAATTTGGTCGCAAATCCGACCAGATTTCCTAATAGTAGAGATAGACCGATACAGGTTTTTGAAGGCCGATACTGATTTTTTAAACATCAGTCTACCCGATACGCCGATACGTGCAGCCGATTTTTTTTTTGCTGATTCTTGAAGCCGATACTACTTTTTCTTCCTCCAATAACACGATAAAAATAAGAATGATAACAAATGTTACACGTCTTAATTTAAAAAAACAAACAAACAAACAAACA